TGGGGACTGCTGCTGTAAGCAGTCCTTCTTACATATGTGTAACAGTTTGATTTACAACATATTTATCAGAGAAATGTTTTGGATGTATTCCGTGGCACGTTGCTGCCCCCTGAACATCCAGGAGCGGTGTTTGTACATCCAAGAAAGACTTCAGAAAATGTACCTTCTGCTCTGCTGCAGTGTAACTGGAAGACAGACAATGTCCCAGATATCTGCTATCCTTGCATTTCTCCTGTTCTTGTGAGCACTGCAGGAATCCACCTTTTGGAGCAAAGGAAATGGATTGAGAAGGCAAATACCTTGATGTTACTTATGCTCTTGTTCAGCAGGGGAGCTCTGTTATAATGGTGTACCTGTATGCTCAGTAAGTTCTGAGTCTATTACTAGCAAGCTGTCCAACTTCTTTTCCAAGCAAGCATCAGGTATACAATGGCGAGAGTATAAGGCACGAGTGGTTCTTTGCAATTTGCCTTTCATAGTTCTGGTATGAAGGCCAGGCACCAATTCTCAGTAAATCCTGACAGAAGAGTGTTCTGATAGACCCCAGCAGTAGCCCTATGCTGGGAACTCTAGGGGTGCTAGCTCATTGTCATAGCGTCCAATCAAGTCTAAGAAATGCTCTCAAATCTTGACACTTTTGAAATACCAATAATCCTCCACTTCAAATGCATTCTGTAGATTGAATAATTGTACCAGAACACCAACTGCAAATGCCACAGCCTGAGGTCCAAATGTGGCATTCTTTAACCCTTCCATTTACGAGAAGAAGAGCCTAGCTCATTGGCAGTTACTTGCAGCAGATAATAGATCTTTCTCAACCTGAGGGTTTTCAATTGACTCAAACCTCAGCTGTTGCGATTTTCTGGGCCTAATGAGGCTCTGCTGACTGTAACTCCACTTATGTTTTCTGATGTGGGCAGGAGTCAAAGTCAAGCTATCGCTTCATTTTTTCCTCCCAAGAAACTCAAAGCCTACCATGAAGTCTATATCTAAAAGCAACTTGACAGTCTGGTAAGTCTAGCGAATTTTAGAAAAAGAATGGAAAGACCAACAGATAATAAAAAATGAATATGATACGTTTTTATTGCTTGTCGATCTCTATACCTTTTACTAAGACCTGAAACTTAATAAATACCAAGATCCAGCTGTTCCTAATACAAGTGATTTAGACAACAATGAAATAAGAACAGGAGGAGCTTTTAAATGTCTATAAATGGGGGAATAAACAGAACTGAGTTAAAGTAGAAATTTATGGGCAGGATATCTCTCCTCTTCAATCTCAGGTAACTTAAATAATAACCAGTACTTTATCTTTCCTCATATTTTGCCTTATGGAACTTACATCAGATATATACGTAGTTCTCTTCTAAATCCTTTTAACATTCTCTCTGAAGTACGGAATCCCAAGCTGATCAGAGTACTGCAAATTTGAAGTTGTTGTAAAAGCTAAAATAGTGTTGGCCTGTGAGAATACTCCAGTTTGACAGCCATGATCATACCTAGCTTCCTGATCCCATTGGGTTTCAGGGAGGCGGATCTGAACTGCACCTGAAGAAAGCTCCCTTCACCCCCCAGAATGTAATCAACTATCAGTGGCGGACCTGGGGCCCTCAAATTTCAGTGGCGCTCTGAAATATATACCTTATAATATATTCTCAGAAATATTATAAAAATTCATTGTCTGTTACATTTAATTGCATATTTCCTCCCAATATGTATTTATTTCGCGAATCCTAAGTAGAATTTTTAAACACTAACCTATTTAGCATAACATCCTTAGCTCATGACTCATTCTTCCAACTTAAAGGTAGTAAAGATAGTATACCATGTAAATGATGCACAAAAAGCAACCAGTGGCCCTTAGATACCTTCCAGTAGAATACTGACTACTGCCTAATACAATGCCAGTATACAGCATTTGAAAAAGCTCTGCTTGACTCAAATGTAATAGTTTAACTGCAGAAATGTATCAATTTTAAGTATTCAAACTATGAAGCTTTTATTATGGATTCGGGCATAAAATGAAAGAAATTAGACATTTAGGCATTTGTATGTGCCATTCAAGAAGTGCCTTTTCTTATGCTTTTTCACTAAATCCAGCTAGAAAATGCTGCTTTGGTATGGTGCATAAGATACCAAGACAACTGGCGACTGCATGAAAATTTAATCTAATTTAAGAAATTGAGATTCTTGGACATTTTGACCTACTTTGAAAAGGGCAAATTAGTGCTGGCACCTCTAGCTGCAGTTCTTAATGAGATCCATCTGCTATAAATGAGGAAAGTTGCCATAAACAGTACTGGACCGGAGAGAATGTATTGCAGCATAGCAATATATAGTAAACACTAGACCTTTCGAAAATGCAAAGATGGGAGATAATTTTCACAGACTTGTTGAAGAATAGCCTGGCGACCTGGAGCTGCGTGAGCCCCTAATGTGCACTGCATATGGAGCTGATCACAATTTTATTCCACGTCGGGCTAAAATTTGTGAATGCAACCTCCATCACATGCCGTCGATCCTTCACAGGAGCTACTTGATCAGGGTGCAAGTATATCCAGTGTCAGATGTAGGTTTTAAGGGCCGTTGGGCAGGATATCCTCCAAGGATCCCCTTCCTCAGTGAATCTTCCTCACTTCAGCAAGCCCAGGGGCTTCTTGTCAGTGCCCCCCATTGGGGTGTTGCTCCTTGATAGATAGCCAACCACACGCTTGGCACCAGCCCTAAATAGAACCATTTATTCTACACGCACTCTAGTGCTTTTTTGGTGTAGCTTATGAGGTTGATGGGGAACAATTTACGAAAGTAAGGTGGCATTTGAATGGTCATGAATGAAACTGATCAGGGAACTAGTCTGTTTACTGGGCTGTCATAATTAAGAATTAACAACCTGAGCCTGATCAGTGTTGTTATGAAGCATAGGCCAATGTTACCATAGCAGCATCCTGCATGTGGTAGACAAACTGGTCCTTCCTGCTGTGCTACTGTTATGGAGGGTGGGTTGATTAAATAAATAAATAAAAAATCAATCCTCCTTTCGGACTGGGAATATCCCCTCATTCACCGCATTTAGGATATTCCACCATTCTTCAGCAGAGTTTCTTTTCTTTTAGCAAAGTAAGCGGCCCACGTGTATGTCAAACCGAGCTTTAATAATAAAGAAAATTATAACACAATAACATACTATCTGAGAGAAACCAAAGCAACATCTTGAGGCAAAAAGCAGGAATGACAGTTGGTCTCTCTAACTGAACTTAACTGAACACCTGAAGGGAGGGGCCAATTCCATAGCACAACACAAAACCCCTGCCCACCAGATGCCAGACATTCTACTATTCAAATTAGGCACCAGTGTTATTCTGACAGCTACTTGGTTTGCATCCAATGCAATGTGAGTGCAAGGGCCAAAGGCTTATCTAGCCCAGCATCTTGTTTCCCACAGTGGCCAACCAGATACCTATGGGAAGCCCACAGGGAGGATGCGAGAGCAGTAATTCTCTCCTAGTGTTGGTCCTCCAGTCACTGCTATTCAGAGACATCCTACCTCTGTTCCAAGCATAGAAGGCAACTCCCAGGGGGTGTGCTACCCTCCCCCCCCCCAGTTTGATAAGCATTGCCATTTGAATGATGTGTGTGTGCCACATCATGTGATTGATTATATGGATGGGGCTTACCTGGGCCCCCCAGTGTTTTATTCAGGTTGGCACCCCTGGTTTCAAGAGTTCGTATAGCCATCATGATTAGTAGACATTGGTAGCCTTATCTGCCCTTTTAAAATGTCTAATCCACTTTCAGAGTCATCCAAGCTGGTGGCCATGGCCACATCTTGTGGCATTAACTTTTGTGTGAGCAGTGTCAGGCAGCAGGGAGAGGCTGGAATTGGGGGAAGTCAGAGGCAGTTTGCACAAGCAGGAGAGCCAGGGAACCATTGCTAAATAGAGCTGACTTTTGAGTAAACATTACTAAAAGAGCTTATCTCTGGGGACGGGCATTGCTGGATAATGTAGGAAGCTAACTTGCACGTGGAGCAACACATTTATTTGTTCTTCTAGGTGATTATGAAATAACAGTGCCTCGTTTGAATTAAAGTGCTGCAATATGGAAACAAATGAATTCTGACTAAATCAAAGTCCAATTCATACGTTACATAAGCAGTACATACCCTCCAACATTTCTCCAATAAAAATAGGTAAAGGTAAAGGCACCCCTGCTCGTATGGGCCAGTCGTGACCGACTCTAGGGTTGCGCGCTCATCTCGCTCAAGAGGCCGGGAGCCAGCGCTGTCCAAAGACACTTCCGGGTCACGTGGCAAGCGTGACGAAGCTGCACTGGCGAGCCAGCACCAGCACCGCACACGGAAACACCATTTACCTTCCCGCTAGGTAAGCGGTCCCTATTTATCTACTTGCACTTAGGGGTGCTTTTGAACTGCTAGGTGGGCAGGAGCTGGGACCGAACGGTGGGAGCTCACCCCGCCGCGGGGATTCGAACCACCGACCTTACGATCAGCAAGTCCTAGGCACTGAGGTTTTACCCACAGCACCACCCGCGTCCCGACCAGTAAAAATAGGGATGGCCTATTAAGTAGGGAATAGGGATGGCCTATTAAGTAACAATAACAATAATACTATTATATCCCACCCATCTGACTGGGTTGCCCCAGCCATTCTGGGTGACTTACAACACATATAAAAACATAATAAAAGATTAAACATTTAAAAACTTCCCAATACAGGATTGCCTAAAGATGTCTTCTAAAGGTTGTATAGTTACTTATCTTCTTGGCTCTTGGGTCGCATAACTGCATACCCTCCAATATTTCTCCAATGAAAATAGGGAAAAGTGGAACATTCTGGGATCAAATCAGAAACCAGGACACCTTTTGTAAATCCAGGACTGTCCCTGGAAAATAGATTCAGGTAGGTAGCCGCATTGGTCTGATGCAGTCAAAATAAATAAAAAATTGTCCAGTAGCACCTTGGAGACCAACTACGTTTGTTCTAGGTATAAGCTTTCGTGTGCATGCACACTTCTTCAGGTACTATCTGAAGAAGTGTTGATGCACACGAAAGCTTATACCTGGAAAACAGGGACACTTGGAGGGTCTTTGTATGGTTGTCATTTGTAAATCCAAACCCCTCTACACACAGGGAAATGATGATCAAGTGACCTGTGTTAGCTGTAACCACACTAAGAAAGTCTGTGTCTGGTTAGAATGGACCTAAGCCACATGGTACCATTTCATAAAGGCAGCTAGCTGATTCCAGCACGTTTTCCCATGAAGACTGATCACCTATCTAGAATGAGCCTTATCTGTATGTACTTGCAGGGAGGCAGATGTATCGTTGAATTTTTACCTTTCTGTTGTTATGCAAATTCAATGCCAAAGCAAGCAATGAAAAGCAATTAAAAACTGCAACAGACGCAGAGGGTAGTTGGGCCCAAATAAACCATATCATGAGTTTATATTTTAGTACATTTTTGGTATAAATACTAAGGATACTTGAAATCCACATTGATTACTGCTTGGCCTCACAAGATTAATTCTTAGTAGCAACATTCAATGGATTTGTTCTATTCCATGACAATTTTATTACTGGTTATAAAATGAGATGGTAGCACAATCAACTCTTTGCCGATTGCTTTCTACCAAATTGTGACTCTTGCTTCTAATATAATGTCAGTTCTTGCTGTGGGCCTCCTCTGGCATTTTTTGCACTTGCATGTCTAACAGGATTTTGAAAAAGCGGGGTGTGTGTGTGTGTGTGTGTGTGTGTGTGTAAAATCAGCTGCCTGCTTATTTGTTTCTGAGAGACAGGCCTCTGTCAGTGAAATCGCTATAAAAGTATGTGCCTGGATGTGTTTTGAAAGTGCCTGTCTTAAGCTAGTATGTGGTCCCACATAATCATGTGTTAGAGCATCTGAAAAATATAAGTGTTTCTTCCCCCTAATGAAGTTCATGCTTAAGACTGTTACATACAGTTCCATCCATGCTCGTACATTATAGAGGTGGTTTAATCATCCGTAAGAAATTACTAGCTTCTCTGTTCGTGAAGCATGACATTTCAATTGCACAGCCAATAAAAGAATTACACAAGGAGAGCTGAAATGATTTACTGTATACAAAGCCACAAGACCAAGGTTACCATGGTGAGCTTACCTTTCTGGGCAAACAAGGTCAAGTGAGAGTGACCCATCAGTGGACAACCTTCAGTTCTAACATAGTAATATATTGCTCCAACAATGGTTTGTTGGCTTCCTTTTTAAATAACTCGCAACATTTAACCATTTTGGGGGAAGTAGGGGAAGTCACAAGTCTGCATTTTCAAGGTCTGGGCAGCTGTAAATAGAGTATATGCACTCCATTTATATTAGCAGTATTTGTAACAAGCAACTTCAGAAAGAAACCCTCCATTTCATAGATTTCTTTATGAACCATATTGCTTATGACGTGGTTTCTTGGGATCTGTTTTATGCTAATCGTAAGAAACAATTTATAGAACTTAAAGGTGTGTGTGTGCAATTGAAAATGAAGAGCCTTCTGAGATTTACTTCTTGTCCTTCATGGTACATTATAAAACTTCTTTCCATTGTATCTGGGATGAAGGGATCGTTGGTAATCATTTCTGTGCAGATATTGCCAAAGGGCAGGGGGTGGGGGGTAGGGTGGGGTAGGGAAACACCAGATAAATTAAAATGTTTGAATAAAATAGTTCAGAAGAAACTGGAGAGTTTATCTAATGTGTCTCTGAAAAACATTTTGTTGATGCAGAAAATGAAGACTATACTAATAAATGTCTCTTGAATTTCATATGCTGTAAGAAAATGAAGCCCTTTGGGTTATGAATCTTGGATTTAAAGAGGAAGTCATCAAATATTTAAGGTGAAAATGCAGTAACACATGCTAGCTGTCATGTGTAAATTTGGTGAATGTTATGACAAGGTTTTTAAAACATTCATAGTTGGGAGTATTTTTATGAAAACATTCATTAATTCAAACCGACATTCATATTGGGCAACCTGCATTTCACACACACACACACACACACACACACACACACACAAATTCTAGATGAGAGATCATTGTTAAGCCACAAAAATATGGTTGAAATATATAGCAGTCGTGCTATATTATACATTATAAGGCATACATATCGGTATGTTGTCATATTATGCATTAAATTTAGTGCATAAATCAGGCTGTTATAATTCTGATGTTGCCAAAAGGCAGAAAATATGACAAACACAACTAGGCATGTAGATATTATCATACTCTATAATTCAATGAGCATTTGTTTTATGTAAATTAACTTCTGTTAATAAAAATTACATTCATTTATTACTCCAATTCTATGTGATAATTATAAAAGGTCTTTTCTTTCTGGAAAATATTGCAGAATGTGAATAATCCATTTGTTTAATATCTTTATAAACAACATCCTACCATAAGATTAGCCGTGGAAATGAAAGCGTTATTGATTTCTGTAATAATTTTATAATATTCCTACATTGCAATGCTGAAACAGCTAATCTAATTTTGTGGCAAACTGTGCATTTAAAGCTGTGCATGAACTTGCAGAAATGTGGAATATAAACTATATGTATTAAATGCCAGATGGCTACAGCTCATGTTTTGTCTGGGTTGAGACAAACCATGAGCCTAGGTTCAGTTTAAGCCATACTATGGCTCTGAGTAGTGTTGCAGAAGCAAGACAGGAGGAGGAGTGAGGCACACATGCGCTCTTGTCCATGCTTAACCATGGTTTGTCTTAAGTGTTACATGCAGACCAGGGCATACTGATACTTTAAAACAGTAACCAGTATAAACACCAAGCAGTTGTGAAAGCAAGTATGGTATATATGTAATGCATCAAAAGAAGACTTGGTCAAAGATTTCTATCCAGTGAGCATCATGCACAGGAGTGGAATATGTGCACAGAAGTGCTGTTTCAGGTTGGGGTAAAGAGGAAGGCAAAGTTCAGAGCAAGCTTCAGATTTCTTCTCCTGAAAATGTCAAATATTTAAATTGCAAAATACAGTGCATTTAGAGAACAACTTTTTTGACTGCTGCTCGACATCATAAGCACACCAGGGAGCTTTTCTGGACCAGGCCAAAGGCCTATCTGGTCTATATTCTGGTCAATGGGAATCCCACTTGGAGGACCTGAGTGTGACATCACTCTTCACATTTGTGATGCATGCTGCCCCTAGCCATCCAGCCTGTTTCATCATTCACAGTTGCCCAGAGTTATCAAGGAGAAGGGCAATCTCATTAAGGCTGGAGAGGGCACTTAGGAGAGGTTGTGTCAATAGTCTACTGTAATTTGTCATTCAACAGAGAGAATAGGCCTAGATAGACTCACTGGGTCTGTTCACTTGAATATACCCTAGAGCATTCATGAATTCAACAAGAAACCATAAGTCTCTATGAGTGGAGTACCTTAATAGTTCCTCTACCCCCCATGGGGATAGGAGTTGCCACTGTGAGACCAAACCTCACCAGGAAATGGTCTGACCCTGACAATAGTATTACCTGAACCACCACCCCTCCTCTTTTTTAGACTGTCTCCTTCATAACCTGGAGCACAAACTAAATCAAGGGTATTTCTTGTTTGATTATAAACTGAAAAAAACTCCACAGTTATCCCAGGAGCCATGAGCTGGCCCACCCAAGACCACATGAATGTTGATCCCCCAAGACCATAATTTTAGAGTTCACCCAAACTTGGTATAAGGGATGCTTCTGGGCAGCAGAGGGTTAGGCACACATCAACATGTCTCTTTAGCCTAGGAGGGCAAATCCTCAAAGCTTGCCTCCAAGTGGAGAGGTCTCCTAGTGAGGGAGATAACATCACTTTGGGCAATTGCAACCTTCTCTCCAAACCCTCCAGATTTTGTTGATGCTGCACCAAGTACTCAGATGAGCACAACTGGGCCAGTTAACCCAGTTCTACAGGTCAGGTCAGCTCTGTCATGCTACCTTCTCTCTGCATACTTGTTGTGCATGACAGTAATACAAGTTGCTGCTTAACCTGAGTTGGTTTCTTGTTTATCTACAAACTTCACGTAGCAGTGCCTGTCACAACAAGCTGATAAATAAGCCCACAAAAAGATGCTAACCTGCTAAAATATTTGTTAGCTTGCTTGGAACTGGCAGAGGAGTGACAAGAGTTCCATCCTTCTTGTAGCAACTCTCTCTGCTGGTTGCAGAAGTGGGGATTTCCATCCCCCTAGCAGCCCACTTGGTTTCTTCACTGTCCTGGTTCCACTCATGGACACAGTATTCAGACCCTTGCTTTGACTGTTCAGAAAATGGCTACACTGCTTAAATATACTGATTACATCAGGCATGTCCAAAATCCAGCTGGTTTCAAATGGCCCCCCAGGCAATCTTGAAAAAGCAATCTCTTGCGGCCCCCGAGCGCCTGCCCACCAAAGCCATTTCCTTTTTGCGGGCTCGTCACAAGCTCTCCCCTCTGCGTGGGGGGGCCCTGGCTAGCCCCCACACCATTAGGGAGTCCTCAGCTGCATCACTCCTTGGGTTGACCAATCTGGTCAGCCGGGTTTGTGTGGCTAAATAAATAAATACTACAGTACACGTTTGGAATGTGGATGCTTCAGAGATGATAGTGGGAGAGGGGTGGCTGCTGCCTTGACCCAATGCCAGATTTATGTATAGGCTAAGTAGGGTGAAGCCTAGGGCCTCTAAATCTAAGGGGCCTCACCAGCCTGCCCACTCCCCAGCAGGCAGTCTCCCCTTTCCCAAAATTGCAAACCCAAGACTACATGTGATGGCAGGGCAACTCAGGCCTCTAAATCTAGGGGGCCTTGCCAGCCTGCCTGCTCCCCAGTGCTGCAGTCTCCCATCTCCCAAAATTGTAAACCCAAGACTTCATGCAAGGGCAGGGCAACTCAGGCCCAGCAACTATGAGACTCAGGGCTAGCCAGCAGGGCCCAATTTGAAGCAGTGGGGCGCAACTTGAATCTTTTTTTGTAGCGCCCCAGTTCACAGCCGAAGTCTGCAAAATCTTATAGATATAAATAAAATCCATCTCGATTGCCCTGGTGTGGGGGCCCCCTTAGGAG